CTGCCTGCCACGTCGCTGCCGACACCGCCGACGCCGCCGGCGTTGCTCCCGAGGCTAGCCGTTTCAACCACGTGGACGCTCTCGACCGCGATTCTACCTCGCTCCTTGCGCCGCTACGGACAGAGAACAACTCTGTAGTTGTCTCGTTATCGTTTCGAGAAGGAAAAAAAGAAGAAAGATAGGAGAGACGTGGCCCACGGCAGGAAACACGCGAACAACCCTCTTCCTTTTCCTCTGCAAACGTTTACCTTTCCCTTTTTCTTTTTCACTCTGTCTATCTGCGCGGCACTTTGTCCCTAAGGAACTTTGCATTTTTGTATCACGTTCACGTTTATGTTCGGAGTTACGACGAGTAGTTGCGATGGACGTGTTTTACGGGGTTGGTGTTGTTACGCCCCGAGGTTTACTATAAGCCGTGTTCCTAACCGTCTCCCTTGGTACTACAGTGTCGCAGACAGATCGTCTTACATGACCGGCGAGATATACACAATATAGCAATAAGCGCTTAGTTGTCGTCAAGCAGCGAGTTCTAAAAAACATCGATTCGCCTTCGGTCTGTTATTTTACCTCCACAAAAAAGGTGGCGTACGTGATCATAGGCGCGAACGGTTGCGAGACCAGAGCGTAGTGGGAGTTGTCTCCAAGAGAAGACGAAGGAAACAATCGAAGAGCAGTCAGTATTATACGAGAATTCAAACCGAATGCATCGAGAGGTCCAGAGAAATAAAATCAAAGTCGCTTAGTCAAACGAATACGTGGAGAAATATTATAAAGTCGAGTCGAATTATAATAATAAACTAGTTGTATCATCGTTAAATCATTTATACCGTGTTAGTTATCATCTTAAATATTGTTAAAAATAGAAGCTTATATTAATCCTGTTAATTCAGTGTTACAATCATTTGAACTACCTCTGTTATCCTAATCGAAACAGGAGAACTGGGGGACTGGTTCGCGACGTCGACCATCAGAATCGTAACGAGAATTTACGCCTCTCGCTGACGCGTCTCTTCGCGAACGGTCGTAACAGGTGTATTTTTTTTATTATTTTTATTCGAACAGGATTATAACTCGAGTGGCAGAGGCCGTAACTTTTTTGAAGATTTTGAGATACTTGTTTCGCTGTACTCTCTTTCTTCTATGCGCCAGACTTTGTCTTGAACTTTTTATTTTTCTATCGTGTTCTGTTTCACGCTGAGATTTGAAGTTAAGGAGTTTAGTTAGAATGGACGTGTTTTATGGTGCTGCATTTTTTATTCGGACGTGGTTATAATGCGAGTGAAAGACTAACTTTCTGAGAATTTTTAGACACTTTTCTTAGTGTACTCTCTTTTTTTTCCTGTGCGCGCCACTTTCTTCTTAACTTTTGCTTTTTGTATCGCGTTTTATATCAAGTTGAAATTTCTCTTTGGAGTTGCGAGACATAGTTAAGACTATTTTTTCCTTTTTTTTTATTCTTTCTTATTTGAGTAGAATTATGACTAGAATGAAAGATTGTACCTATTTGAGGATTTTCAGAGAATTTATTTTACCGTAATCTCTTTAGTTTGTTCAATGGTTTCGGTTTAGAGAACGTTTCGATTACCAACTTGAAGTAGTTTAGGCAACGTTCGGATTTGTAACTTGTCGCAGTTGTGGTTGCGATGTGACAGAAGAAGTCTCGCATGGATTAACTCCCTCTTCTACCCTCAAGTTCTAAGTAAATTACGATTGAGGTCGACTAGGTCCTATCGAATTCGACATCGATAGCCTGTTTTCCTCCAGTTTGTTCTACCAAATGAATTGACACACTAAATGAAAGATTATTATAATACAAACATTAATGAAGAAGATGGCTTATAAAGATCGAAATCTCTGGTCCTAAGTATACGTATACTCCGATCAAGTTCTATGCACATATTTGTCAGACAGATATTAAAACTTCGATTTCCATTCTTTTTCTCTATTTTCTAACATTTTCCTTAGAGCTATATCAATTTTTCTTAAATCAGACACAATGTCGAATGTGACTCGACGTCAGTTTTTATCTCAGCAGCTCCTTCGTCGAGCCCCGCCTTTTTTTGTGAAACGCGCGAAAGAAAAGCAGAATTGCACGCTGGAAATTGTTTCAAGATATGTCACACACTTAAAAATTCGAAAATACAACAATAGCGTGAATACCAGATATGTAAATATGAAACCGGAATTTTTAATAGAAAATACACGTTTATCGTATAAAAATGATTAAAAATATTTTATTCGAAGTATTGCCCATCGCTAGCTACACATTTTTCCCGCCTGTCTGACAATTGGTGGATGCCACGCCAAAAAACTGTCGCTCTTTTGAGGCAAACCAGTCATCGAGCCATTTTCGTACATTTTCGTAAGAAGCGAAGTGCTGGTCAGAAAGTGCGTGTCCCATCGATGCAAATAAATACTAATCGGACGGAGCCAAGTATAGTGAGTAAGCCGCGTGCGAAAGTATTTCCCAACTGAACGCTTCGATCGTTTTCCTTGACCGGTTTTGCTGTATGCGATGGTGCATTGTCACGAAGCAAAATTACTTTGTGTTGCCTTTTTTGATATTCTGGTCGTTTTTTCGCGCCAAGCTCGATTCAAATCGATCGTTTGTTGTCGGTAGCGCTCAGTATTAACGGTTTCGCCAGGTTTTAACAGCTCATAATAGATCACACACTTCTGATCCCACCAAACACCGAGCATTGTCTTCCGTCCATAGCGATTTGATGTTGCAGTCGATGTCGGTGGTTCGCCTGGAGCTACCCATGATCTTTTACGCTTAGGATTCTCAAAATATATCCACTTTTCATCGCCAGTCACAATTCGGTGGAGAAATGACTTTCTTTTGTCGGTGGAGAAACGACTTTCTTTTGTATCTGGCGAGCAGCATTTCGCAAGCGGTTTTTCGGTTTTCCTGCTGTCTTCCATTCGGTTCATGTGGAACCCACTTTCCCACCTTCTGGATCTTTCCCGTGGCTTTCAAACGTATGGAGACGGCTTCTCGTGTCACGTTTAATCGATCAGCGAGTTGTTGTTGCGTTTGAGCGTCATCCTCGTCCAACGACGCTTGCAATTCGCTGTCTCGAAACTTTTTCGGTGGTCTTCCACGTTCTTCGTTCCTCGCGTCAAAATTGCCACTTCTGAATTTTTTAAGCCACTCAAAGCACTGTGATTTACCAAGAGCATGCTCGCCGTAAGCTTCGACAAGCATTCGATGCGATTCTGCAGCAGTTTTCTTCAAATGGTAACAGAAAATCAATGCT